AATCCGAAAATTAGTGGTAATTTTCAATATAATTCTCGACACTTACATGTCCTTGATATCGAGTGCTCCAATTCCTAGAGGTATCTACTGCCACATCAACAGGATACAACGACCGCTTCGCATTGGCCAGAGCCAACCGTATGTCTGCTTGCGTTGGTAGTATACGACTACTCGTACCTATTACCACACTTCTACGAATTCATTGTGAATTGTTAATTCATGGAGTTCCACCCATGATATGAAAAACACTAGTGAAAAAATATTTCACATTTGACTCGACGAAAAACGCATGTGAGTAGTGAATAACGCGTAAACCGGTGCTATTCGCAGAGTATTTCCAATCGCGTTTTTCACATGAAGTATGACGCCACTCGGGTCGCGAAATTCTAATGAGTAATATGCTACTACATCTGAGCGTATCCCTCTCCAGTGCTAATCGTATACAGGATAGCATCATCATGAAACAGTGGAGTTTCACGACCCGTTTTACGTGAAGTGGTGCAATACTCCATGTGAACGTTTGTCAGGGTTAGCTGTTGGCCACAGCCTGTTGCTGTGAAACAGCTCCCTGACGCTCTAGTCGACTAGTCGTATATTTGGTGTTTTGTGAATGATTCACTGCCAAGTCCGGAGTGGTATACACTGGTGACAGGGCTTAACTTGTGCACCACCGTGACGTACCACCGTAGTACTACTACGGCTACACGAGGACCCCTACGTGCGGGAACTACACCGGAAGAATCACTCCATATCGCGTAAAACACATCATGTGTTTTACGCGTTATTCACTGCTCACATGCGTTTTTTCGCGAAATGTGAAGAGATATAAATTTTTCACTAGTGTTCTCCATATCACGGCTGAAACTATACTTTTATTCATGTTCGAACTTTATATATATGTTTTCAATTTAATAATGCACATCATGAAACGCTTCGCTCCGCTGTGATCGAGACCAGGACAAATGAAATTTAATTTTAATCTACTAACTCTACCGACACATGACTACTCACCATGAGTTGCATGTGCGTGCTGTTGAGGTTGCTCACTGTCGGCTCGCTGACCACCTCGAGGACTCTCTTCCCCGTCAGTGGAATCCCCAGCAGAAGTATCATCACGCACGACACCACCTAACAATAACAAAAGTTATACACTAGTTTCAGCACGGCACGTATGAAAGTATAACCATCGAATTGTGGTATATGTAATTCGCCAAGTATTTTCAATTCACTTCATATCGCGTTTTTCACATGGAGTATCACACCACCTCACGTGAAAACGATTTTCACTTGTCACTAATTTATATTTCCATACCACAACACCACCAACTTACTTTCAACTCTACCCATCTCCACATCGTCCAACTTCGGTGGTGACGCCTCAACCCACTCGAACTCGAATTCTCGCCAGGTGAATGCCGAAGTTAGCAATACCGCAAAAATAGTCATCTCGACGCACACCAAAAATGCGCTCCACTTCATACCAATTTCTTGCGGCTCCTTCGAAAATGCGAGATCGAAAATATACTGCTGCCAGAAAGTGACGAAAATAACCAATTTAACAGAGACAAATTTTGCCAGAGGTTTTTTATCTCGCAAACTCGGATGACGTCTCGACGATATGTACAGAAGCCCCAATGCATATAACGCCAACTGACATGACCAGGGATCGAACCGGGGACCTTCGGGTTACCAGCGGCTCAACCTACCGAGTATGATAAGTTGTACGCAACCTCCCGGATAATCGTCCACACTTTATTATCGCCTTCCCCGAAGATATGCATAATCTGAGCAGAAACAGATACACTCCCAGGTTCGATCCCGGCACCCTGCATTTTTACAATTTCCGTAATTGTCATCACCGGCTTCAACACGACGAACTGGAGTACACATCTCTTCATGCCTCTCAAGAACTCCGATGTAAGCGCGAGATTCGGCAAGCACTTGCTCAGTGGCCACGGCTGCTGAATGCCGTCTGGAGCTGTGTACAGTGTACCTGACGAGAGCCCATCTAGGGTTTGATAACAATGGGGGGAATGCTGTTCCTAATGTGATGATGACATTCACATGGGAAACTGATTCAATAATGTGTTCCTAGTTTTACTTGGAAAATTCGAAATGAGTTCACCTCCCGGAAACATTATAGGTTCCCAAAACAAGAAAAACTCATCACATGTTTTACGTGTTAATCACTGCTCACATGCGTTCTTCGCGACGTCGATTATGAATATATGTTTCTCACAGCACAGGTGTAACTCCAATGCTACGTAACGGAGTTTCACGACCAATTTAACGTGAAGCGGCGTAATACTCCATATAACGTATATGTCTACACACTTGTTTTCCCTGGAGAAAGCTGTAGAATATGTTTTTCATTAGCTACTGATTCTATTTATAATGGAGTCTCACCACCCTAGTGATATGAAAAACACTAGTGAAAAACATATTTCACAAACTACTGCATATCGG